AAGATAAGACTTAGCCTTGAAGAGAACTCTTTATGTATTCCTTCTTTAGGGGAATGTATTTAATATTTCATATCTGAATGTACTGTTAGCTGTAGATTTTTGTGAATGTCATTTATCAGTTTGATGAAATTCCCTTCTTACCTGTCTATGATTTTTGATGGATGTAGATAACTATTTCAAATATTTCTGTACATCTATTGAGATAATCTTCATCTTTCAAGTATTGATAACTTCAATACACATAAAATAACATTAGAGAGAAAAATTCACAAATTTATTGCTATTGAAGTCAATTCCAATATAATTCTTTCTTTATCATCGGCAAGTCATATAATAATGTAGAGAATATGCAAAAGAATCAAAGAGCACAAATTACAAGTTTAATCTCAGAATCAGATGAAGAACTCTGAACCTAACAATAAATTCATATTCCTCTGTTAATTCATGAAACATTTATAAAAATTGTTAATAGGCTATCCCATCATTCATTTTAATAGAATTCAAAGAATTAACATAACATACATAACACAGGATATATTCTTCAACATTTTGTTATTAGGTCAATTATTTTAAAAAGAAGATAAATTTTATCCATACATTTGAAAATTTTAAACTATGGAAACTTCTATTGTAGTAAAAATTTTTTCATGCTCTGTGATCTCTATAATTTTGATATATCACTCAGTTGATGTTAACTTAGATTTACTAGAGTATAATAAATATATGATAGTCCTAGAAGGATATGCCTGGAATTGAATTTTGATCAATATATCACATAGAAATATTTGATTAATAAATGGAAGTACTGAGACAACAATGCTTTTGTGAAAACACATTAAAAGGCTGAAATTTATGTTGTTTTCATCCAATTTAAGGGTTTTCTCTATCTGATCAAGTGTAACTTCAGCACATATCATTTATGTTAGAAAAACTATACTTAAAATCAGAAATTAGACAAGACGTAGTATCTCCCATTTCTTTCTAGCATTGTGATTCTCGGTATAGTAAGGCAGGGGAAAACAAAGCTAAGAATTGGGAAAAAATTTTCTTTTATTCCTTTTAAAGAGAGAGAGAGAGAGAGAGAGAATTTTTTAATATTTATTTTTTAGTTTGCGGTGTTCACAACGTCTTTATTTTATTTTTATGTGGTGCTGAGGATCGAACCCAGCACCCTGCACGTGCCAGGCGAGCACGTTACCACTTGAGCCACATCCCCAGCCCAGGGAAAAAGATTTTCTATAAGGAAAAATCAAATCAAACAATAATCACAGCACTAGTAATAAAAAGATAGACCCATAATATGGTTGGATATTACATGTCTGTATTTGAGCAATTATTAGAAAAGATCATTTTTTAAGAATGTTTCTAATAGCAGTAGACAAAGGACACATGAAATAAATAGGGAAAATATTGTTGGTCAAAATTTGAAATTTCATAGTAAGACCTTAAAACAATGCAAATGGGAAAGATACCATGTACATGCCTAGCAAAACAATGCTATAAAGTACGACATTTCATTGTCAATTTGGTAATCTAAATCTAAACTTTATATGGAAGAGCAAAGGGACAAAATCCAAGACTCAAATAATAATGTGGATTGATGTTCTTTTCAGCATATGTCAGAGTAACATAGATAATGAATTGTTGGTTTATAGATATACAGCCTTTACAACAAAAAAATAGAGCATCTGAAAGATACTTGCAGATGAGATGTATGACTGAGGTATGATCACAGTTAAATGGGAAAGTGGTGAATAATAAAAAAATAATTCTGAGATATGTGCTATCCCTATGGAAAACTAAATTGAATCTGTATCTCACTCTGTATGCAAACTCATTTTAAGATGAATGAAAATATAAATGCAAAAATCAAAATTTTTAAACTTTCCAGAAGAAAATGAAGGAGTCTAATTCTCTGCTTATAAGGTCAGGAAAGATTTTTTTCAAATATTGAAAACACTAATTTTTGTCCATAATTTAATTGGTATACTACAATTTTACATAATGGTAGGATTTATTGTTACATGTTCAATATATTTACAATATAACTGTATAATTTGAACACTCTTCATTTCACATTTTTTTCCCTTTCCTTTCCCTCTTCCCTCTCCCAGGTCTCTTTCCTCTACTGATCTTCCTTTGATTATCATGAGATCTCCCACCATCATTCTTTTCCTTTTTTGCTTCCAAATAGGAGAGAAAACATAGAGCCCTTGACTTTCTGAGTTTGGCTTATTTCACTTAACAATGTTCTCAGGTTCCATCCTTGGTCCTGCGAATGACATAATTTCATTTTTCATATGGCTGAATAGAACTCCATTTTGTATGTATGCCACATTGTCTTTATTCATTCATCCATTCACAGTCATCTAGGCTGGTTCCATAGTTAGTCTATTGTATATTGTGTTGCTGTAAACCTGGGTATGGATGTATTGCTATAGTATTCTGAATTTAATTCTTTAGGATAAATACTGAGAAGAGGTATAGCTGGGTCATATTATGTTTCCATTTTAGTTTTTTTGAGAACTCTCCATACTAATTTCCATAGTGGTTGTACTAATTTATAGTTCCACAAATAGTGAAAACACTAATTTTAATAGAAAATATTAATAAATTAATTAAACTAAGGAATTCATCATTGCAATGTCAAAGAACAAAAACTAAAAAAATGAGAACATAATTGCAATATGTTTAACCTCTACAGGATTAATATCAAAACAGATAAAATCTCAATCTGAATATAAACATAAGATATGGAAGGAAACAGAATTTAAAAATCATTTATGACCCCTTCCCTATCTAGACACACACACACACACACACACACACACGACAGTTCTTGAAGATGATAAAATGAACTTCATTTTTTGTTGGTGTAATTCTTGATGTGATCTTTGGCTAATACCAAAAGCTGGTCATCTTTATGTTCCATGTGTACCAGGTAAAACTGGTGCCAGGTACAGTCAAGTAAGCATTACCCTCATCCTTGAGCATTTGCCAAATGAAAAGTTTTTGTAGGCTGAGTAGCAACTCTCTGTAATTCTCTCCTCTATAGTTCCATCTGTGTGACTCCTCTCCTATCTAAAGTCCATTTAGAATGTATGTCCTCATTTACATATCTTTTTCTGCCCATTCCGTTGGGAAGTTGCCCAGTCTTTTGGGAAGTTGTCAGATAATTCTAATTTCAAAATTAGTTGGGTCTACAAATACCTCTGATGTGATTGTCTCTAAAGCTTTATGACATAAAAATGTGGAAAGAAAATAATAAGAGTCAATTTGGTGGAATCACATGATTAAAATACCAAGTATCTGGATCGGGTTTGTGACTCAGTGATGAAGTACTTTTATAGAATACAGACAGCCCTGGATTTAATCCCTAACTCTGGGATTAAATTCAGCACATTTTAAATTGCACATTGTCTTCTTCCTAGCCATTAAGAAGAAAATGAGAACTTTGGCTCCTGGCAATAGACTTTGCCTTCTCTCAAAGGGTAGGGATTTAAGCAAGCAAATAAACAAGCCAAACGGAAATGGGAAAAAACACATAGAGTATTTATAAGAGTAGGCTGCAAAATTGGAGGGCATTTCCTAGAACATTTTGATTATCTCTACAGTAAATACCATATACAATACAGGAAAACATATTTTCTTTTCTTTCTTTTTTTTTTTGGCGGTGCTGGGAATTGAACCCAGAGCCTTGTGCATGCCAGGCAAGCACTCTACCAACTGAGCTATATTCTCAGTTCACAAAGCATGTATTTTCTGATAAAACTGAACTCTAATTATTTAATAATGTGTAATGTAAGAGGAAAGACAAAAGAAGTCATTTTTGGAAACAGCAACACTGTTTTCATTTATCAGTAAATGCTTACTAATATCATGAGAGGGAAAAATGTTTTTAACAAAAGGCTTCTATTGTATAGGGTATGTATATTCCTGAGACACGTATAGGAGAAAAAAAATTAAATGTAGACAATAATATGTTTATTTCTGTACATGATGTTTCATAATTAAGTATGAAGTCATAATCTGCATTAGCCATCAAAGCCCTAGTTGAATTAATTTGATGCCAGTATGCCATTTTAGGATTAACATTTTAAAATTTTGTTATAGATTTCTTTTGTAAGGAACACAAACACAGTGTTCTTAAATTAAAATAACTATTAATGCACTTAGGCTATTAGAAAATAGCACAATTCATAATTTAGATGTATTAATTTTATGCATGATTCATTTCTTAAAGAAATAGAGAATTAGCTAAAAATTTTTACAAAAAAGGAAGTTTTCAAATATCTTAAATAGACTTTTCTAAATTATACTTCTCCATGAGCATGAAAAATAATTGGATATAACAAATTTCTTAGAAAACCAAGCTAAGAAAAGGACACATTAATGCTTTTGAAAATGAATTTTATCTTGAAATTTATCTAGAATTAGGTCCTTCTGTCCCAAAATCATAAAATACCAACTTACCTTTTCTTTTTAGTGCTTGGAATTGAACCCAGGGGCGCTTAACCACTGAGCCACATCCCCATCCTTATTTTATATTTTATTAAACGACAGGTCCTCTCTAAGTTGCTGAGGCTGGCTTTGAACTCTGGATCCTACTGCCTCAGCTTCCCAAGCTGCTGGGATTGCAGACAGGTACCACTGCTCCCAGCACATACCTATTTTTCAAATAACTTTATCATCAATCAGTATCAAATAATTTATGTAATTATTTCATACTTAAATCAAGCTTTAAACCATTTAGAAACTTTGTCTTACACATTCCCAGAATTATTCTTGTGTAAGTTTTTAACTCCTCATCACCTCTATCCTCATATCTTGTAATATGTGTGAAAATAAGTGTTGTTGAACTCATTCATAATTATTTTACTTCTCTCTGTACTTTTTATTCTCAAGTGTTTAACTTGAAATCTTTTTATTTTCAGGTGGTTGATGGTTTTTTCCTCTTAAATAATCAGCAATTTAAATTATTGCTGTTGTTTTCTTCATAGGGTCAAAGAGAATAAGTGATAGTGAAGTATCTGACTATGACTGTGATGATGGAATTGGTGTAGTATCAGGTAAGAATTTTAGAATTATTTTATAATACTAAAAATGGAGTGTGAGTGTAATTCCTCATTATTTACCATTAATAAAAACAATAGAGAAAAATCTCTTGCTTCCTCATTTCCTAAAACAATTTTTTTATGACAATCAGTGGCAATTTGGACCCCTAAAGAGTTATTGGAATATCTATATAAATTATTAGATTGAATATTCTTGAAAGATGGCAATTAGGTAGATATTTGTAAGTTTTTTATACTAAAACAACTTAAAAAAGGATTTACAATAAATTGGAGGAGATATTGCATAATTGAAACTTCTTTATACTGAAGCAAAGTTGTGAAAATAAGTTGAAATCTTTTTGATATCACCAACATAACTACATATATCAAATATTTGAATGGGACTTCTGCATTTTTTTTCTATTGTATTCATATTAAGTATCATGTGCAGCTACATTTTGAAATTATACTACTGTAGTTACAATATTGCATTATCGTATGGTTAGAAAATTTCCAATATTCTCATATTTAGGTAGAAGATATGCTTTCTATAAATTCTGACAAAAAATACAATAGTCTTAATATTACAAATCAATTAACATGCCTGTATCAATATGCCACTTTTTAAAAACTAAAGTATTATTTTTTTGCTTTTGTTTTTTGTACTATGTGTGAACAATATATTCATGATTTAAGTAAGACTGCAAATATATTTTCCATATTTATGGTTTATATATTAAACCCCTCTGTAAAATGGTTATGAAAAATATTTCCCCCGTGGTTCCTTCTCAGAAGTCATTGCAATTTCTTTCTTTTTAAAAAATATTTTTATTAGTTGTTGATGGATCTTTATTTTATTTATATGCAGTGCTGAGAATTGAACCCATTGCCTCATGCATGCTAGGGAAATGCTCTACCACTGAGCTACAACCCCAGCCCCTGCAATTTCTTTTTCTGTTCATATTCTATTTCTTTGTTAGTTAATTATCTCACTTCTTGTCTATTTTAAATATTTAGCCACATAAGTTTTTTTTTTAAATCCAAAATATTTTCCTTCAGACCATTGAAAGCTCTTCATCTTAATGCCATTTTAGTACACAACTGAATTCTTTGATTTCTGTTTTCAAAGTGGAAATTTTTTTTAATGATTCATGTATATGAGTACTACTTTAAATTAAAAACATGATAAATGAAAACAAAAAATGTACATATTAAAAGAGTATCATGTGATATCAATAGATGTACACATTGCATAATGTTTAAATCAAGTTAAACATATCTATTCCCTCAAACATTTCTCATTTGTTTTCGGTGAAAATAACCAGACTCCTTTCTTCTAGCTTTTTAAAGTAGTGGATAATTATTATCTATAGTCACCTTATCATACACACAAGAACTTATTCTTATGTCACTATGACTTAGTACCCATTGATATAGCATTTCAGATCTCTTCCCCAAAAATACTTAAGTCTAATCTTTGTTATTTTTCCATTCTATCAAAGGAATTGTATTTTTTTAAAAAGTATAAATAGTTTATTATTTGGATTAATACTCAATGAAATATTTTTTCACATTACAGAGTATTGTTTAGAAAATCTATCCACAATTCATGCAATCATACATGTACCTAGGGTAATGATGTCTGTCTCATTTCACCATCATTCCTACCCCCTTGCCTACTCTCCACCTTTTCTTTTTTGGCCTCATCCAAAGTTCCTCCATGCATCCCATCACCCCCATTATGGATTAGCATCCACTTATCAGAGAAAACATTTGGCCTCTGGTTTTTTGGGATTGGCATATTTTGCTTAGCATCCTGTTCTCTAACTCCATTCATTTACCTGCAAATGCCATAATTTTATTCTCTTTTAATGCTGAGTATTATTCTATTGTGCACATGTACCACAGTTTCTTTATCCATTCACCTGTAGAAGGACATGTAGGTTGGTTCCACAGTTTGGCTATTGTGAATGGTGCTGCTATAAACATTGAAGTGACTGCATCACTGTAGTATGCTGTTTTAAGTTCTTTGGGTATAGAATGAGGAGAGGGATAGCTGGGTCAAATGGTGGTTCCATTCCAAGTTTTATAAGGAATCTCCATCATGCTTTCTAGATTGGTTGCACCAATTTGCAATCCCACCAGCTATGTATGAGTGTGCCCTTTCCCCCATATCCTCGCCAACACTTATTGTTGCTTGTATTCTTAATAATTGCCATTCTGACTGGAATGAGATGAAATCTTATAGTAGTTTTGATTTTCATTCCTCTAATTGCTAGAGATGTTGAAAATTTTTTCATATATTTGTTGATTGATTGTATATCATCCTTTGAGAAGTGTCTGTTCAGCTCCTAAGCTCATTTATTGGTTGGGTTGTTTGTTTTTTTTGTGTTAAGTATTTTAGTTCTTTATATATGGTGGAGATTAGTGCTCTATCTAATGTGCATGTGGCAACAATTTGATCCCCAAATGTAGGCTGTCTCTTCACCTCATTGATTATTTCTTTTGCTGAGAAGAAGCTTTTTAGTTTGAATCCTTCCCAATTATTTATTCTTAATTTTATTTCTTGCACTTTAGGAGTCTTGTTAAGGAAGTCAGGGCCTAATCCTACATGATGGTGATTTGGGCCTACTTTTTCTTCTATTAGGTGCAGGTCTCTGATCTAATTCCTAGGTCCTTGATCCACTTTGAGTTGAGTTTTCTGCATGGTGAGAGAGAGGGGTTTAGTTTCATTTTTGCATATAGATTTCCAGTTTTCCCAGCACCATTTATTGAAGAGGCTATCTTTTCTCCAATGTATTTTTTGGCACCTTTGTCTAGTATGAGGTAAAAAATTGTGCATCATGATCAAGTGGGGTTCATTCCAGGGATACATCATTGGTTCAACATACAGAAATCAATAAACATAATTCATCAAATCAGTAGACTTAAAGGTAAGAATCATATGGTTATATCAATTGATGCAGAGAAAGCATTTGACAAAATACAGCACCCTTTCATATTCAAAACACTAGAAAAACTAGAGATAGTAGGAATATACCTCAACATTGTAAAAGCTACCTATGCCAATCCCAAGGCCAACATCATGCTAAATGGAGAAAAATTGGAAGCATTCCCTCTAAAAAGTGCAACAAGACAGCGATGCCCTCTTTCACCACTTCTGTTCAACATAGTCCTTGAAACTCTAGCCAGAGCAATTAGACAGATGAAGGAAATTAAAGGGATATGAATAAGAAAAGAACTTAAACTATCATTATTTGCCAATGAAATGATTCTGTACTTAAAGGATCCAAAAAAAAAAAAAATCCAACCAGAAAACTTCTAGAATTAATAAATGAATTCAGCAAAGTAGCAGGATACAAAATATATATCCATAAATCAAATACATCAGTGGTGAATCCTCTGAAAGGGAAATTAGGAAAACTACCCAATTCACAATAGCCTAAAAAAAAAATTGGAAATCAACAAAAGAGGTGAAAAGACATCTATAATGTAAACTACAGAACACTAAAGAAAGAAATTGAAGAAGACCTTAAAAAATGGAAAAATCTCTCATGCTCTTGGATAGGCAGAATTAATATTGTCAAAATGGCCATACTACCCAAAGAGGTGTACAGATTCAATATGATTTCAATTAAAATCCCAACATCATTCCTTATACAAATAGAAAAAACAATCATGAAATTCATTTGGAAAAAATAAGGGACCCAGAATCGCCAAAACAATCCTTCGCAAGAAGAGTGAAGCAGGAGGCATCACAATACCAGACCTTAAACTATACTACAAAGCTATAGTAACGAAAACCACATGGTATTAGCACCAAAACAGGTATGTAGACCAGTGGTACACAATAGAAAACACAGAGACAAACCCACTTAAATACAGTTACCTGATACTAAATTTACTGGTTTTTTTTTTTGAAGATCATAACTGCATATAAAATTTTTATTTGTATATATGTATATAAAAGATTTACTATATATGTAAGTATATATAAAAATTTTACTCTACCCTTCACATTGCCTTGAACATAATAACTATTTTAATATTTGAACACTTGTCATTTCTTTTAATTTATATGTTTATAAAATGTTATTTTTACTTAATATTTTGCTTCATTAATTATACTTTACATTTTAACATAATCTTTCAGCTTCATCAACATTTTATGTTTTTGAGTCAATTATAAAGTACACAAGGGACTTAGTGTGTAGATAACTATATTTGTTAATCTTTTCTACTTCAGATTATCGTCACAATGGTCGAGATCTTCAAAGCTCAACATTATCAGTGCCAGAACAAGTAATGTCATCAAACCATTGTTCACCCTCAGGTTCTCCTCATCGAGTAGATGTTATAGGAAGGACTAGATCATGGTCACCCAGTGTCCCTCCTCCACAAAGGTAAGATAGTACACATATTTTATTTGGTTCTGCAGGCTTACTCACCATGAAGTTTCATTAATAATCTCTAAAGATAAATTCTTTTTTAAATATTTATATTTTAATTGTACACAATCCCTTTATTTTGTTTGTTTTTATGTGGTGCTGAGGATCAAACCCAGGGCCTCGCACGTGCTAGGCAAGTGCTCTACCACTGAGCCACAACCCCAGCCCTAAAGATAAATTCTTATTGAAAAAAGTTACTTAACAAAAAACATAATACTATTCAATAAAACATGTAATGAGGATAAAATGAAATAAGAATTACTTTGTAAAGTTGGATTATCTAAATATTATTTTATTATTTGTTTATACATAATTATTTTCTAATTAAGAATTAGCTTTAATCACATATCAGTATTTAGCGTATCTAGTTAGTAACAACTAATTATACTCATAAATGATACTTATTGGTGACTTAAGAAATAAGAAAAATAAAAATAGTCTTTAATATTAGGAACAATCATCAGAACAATAAAAAAGAGATGGGCGTAGTGGCACTTGCCTGTAATCCCAGTGGCTCAGAAGCAGAGACAGGAGGATCGCAAGTTCAAAGCCAGCTTCAGCAACTTAGTGAAGCCCTAAAGCAGCTTAGTGAGACCCTATCTCTAAACAAAATATAAAAAAGGGCTGGGGATGTGGCTCAGGGGTTAAGTACCCCTGGGTTCAATTCCCTGTACCAAAAAAAAAAAAAAAAAAAAGAATAAAAATAAAAGGATAAAAAGGAATGCATGTGCATCTGATAATTGTAGTGATAATGCATGTTTTTAAGCTTGATGTAGCCATTCTACAATGATTATATATATTATATATCATAAACATATGACATTTTTACATGTCAGTTTAAAAAAAAAGAAAATGGTAAACTCAGTAAGTAAGTATTCAAAAATGAAATATAGCAAAACAAAGGAAATCATAATGGAATTTGAAGAAAGAATTATTAATGATGAGGGCAAAATTGATGAAATTGAGACAAAATGAGGTACAACAAGACAAAAAAAGAAAAAGGAGAAAGAAATATGAGTGTATATGAACCCCCAAACTAGTTATTTGGAAAGATTAATGACATCAATATAACAGACGTCAAAGACAAACCATTTCCCTTCTCCCTTCCACTCAAAGAGTTCAGACTAAGAAGTTATTACACATAAATTCTAACCAAATTACAAAACCAGATATCTCTGTTCTATTCAACTTTAGAAATGAAGCTTTGTAACTCTTTCTGGAACTAATATAATCCTCACTAACAATCTTTACAGTATAAAAAATTATAAGCACAATTTTAATTACAACCACAGGTGTAAAAATCTTATATTAACTAACTAAATCTAACCATGAATAAAAAGCATGATGTTTGGATGTCTTTATGGTAACTCCTTATAGAATTAATTAACTAATTAATTAATTATTATGGGAGTTCTACCAAACAGCTGGCCATACATCAACTTGAAAAAATAAGTAATAATTGATAAGAAAATATAATAAGAAATATGGCACTAGTCTTAAAAACAACATGAAGTACAAAATATCTAATGATTCATTTAACAATTAACAAGACCTTAAGGAAAAATATAAAACTTTAGGTAAGTAATAAATGAGATAAATTCAGTTCATGGGTATAGTAACTTTATATAATCAAGATGTCAGTCCTCCACAAATTAATCTGTAATGCAATACCAATAAAAATTTTTTGTGAAATTTTTAGAACTGTGATATCACTCTAGAATTTATATGAAAGGAAAAATGTATACAAATAATTAAATCATTTCAAAGAGAAAAGAAAAACTCATCACTAAGCAAACATAATAATTGACATGTTGAATACACTCTATGGTGCAAAATAAATATATATAACTTACATGCATATATTTTAACTTATAGAACAATAAAGGTAGCACTATAAATAGCACTATGAGGTAACACTATTATACTATGGAAAGGATAGGTTGGAAGATAAACATGCCATGTAGAATAAAATTAAAAACCAATTCTTACCTTTTATTCTATAAATTGAGTTGCTGTGATCTTTAATTATGTTTCAAAGGATTGCTTTCTGTCATGGTCAATTGGGTTGAAGCAAGAGAATATTTAGGCAGCTATTGTTAGAGTAAATGCATGAAGGTGGTTATTTGTCTAGAGTGCTACCAAGGGAGATGGTGAAAAGTAGGTAGATTTTTGAGTTGTTCTGAGCTCTGAGCTCATGTGCAACCACCTATGAGGTATCTCTTCTCCATTCCTGTAGGCCTTGTAAACCAATATGTGTAATATGGAACTAATTTTCACTACACACATGTATTCCTCCTCCTGCGTATCATATACCATTGAATATTGCTACAGGGAGTGATTTATTAACAGTTTTGGTATTCCTTATCCTATCCCCAATGATATTAACTTAATTTAGGCTCTTTTTGTGCCTCTATCAGCAATCTCTTCAATTAACTCTCAAACTTCAACAAAATTTTTATATTGGCCAGAGGTTAAACGAAATAATTGTACTTGACATTGCAGTGACTTTGTCTACTTCTACCATTTGTATTAATAACTTAATTTCTTAGTGTAATATAAGCTTATGGCTTATTGAGATATTTAATGGATCTTGCTGTTTTAGTAGGAATGTGGAACAGGGACTTCGAGGGACCCGTACTACAACTGGACATTATAATACAATTAGCCGAATGGATAGACATCATATCATGGATGACCATTACTCTCCAGATAGAGACAGGTAAATATAAATACTGTTAAACTTTATTTTGATCACTACCTAATGGAAAAGGTTATCAGAGAACATTTCAAGCAGTCCTTTATGTTAGTTTCCAAAGCCATGTATTCTTTTTACTATGTCCAGTCTTTCTTATGATTGCCACATTGCTAAACAAATAAAAAATAAACAACATTTTTTTTGTGAGAGAAAAAACCATTTTGCTTTTGCAATTTTGGCCTATTATAAACTAGTTGTTATTGAATTTGCACAATAGATTATTATGATCATATTAAAAACAAGATGTTTTACCATTTTACTTGTTAAAACCAATAGTTATATGTAAAATAATAAGACAATAGATTCTTAAAGTCTTTTACATATATCAGAAAAATCAATTTGACATTTCAGATATAAAAGTATTGAGACAGAATCTAATTTGTTTAGGAAACGTTTTATCATGATTCATGAAGAGGTTTTTCCTCATGGCTTTCAGTAAACCTTTTATTCATCTTAAGAATCATGCTTGTTGATTGCTATGTTTGGGAGAATTCTCTGAATGTGCTCTATTAAATGTGACAAACTTGGAAGTAACATGGTATGTTACAGTGCTTACATGAATTATTAATAATTTTTTTAAGTTAAGAAAATGATTACCTCTAATTCATGCTTTGGTGATAAGATGAGGAAAGTAAGATGAATTTATTATTCAGAAAATATGATAATGAGGGAATTCAGATGTCCTTTTGTATATATACTAAACCAGTTTTAGAAAGAACAGTTGAGGGCTTTAAAATTAACTGATATGACAAATCACTGTCAGTATTTACAAATGTAATGTTTTGACTGAATCTAGATTTATATTCAATTCATTTTTACAATTTCATTGTGCTTTAGCACACATCTCCAAAGGAAGAGATAGAGGATATCTTCAGTAGTGTCAGACAAGTACTGTTTTTTTGTGTTTGGAATCCAGAAAAAATTAGGAAGTTATTAAGTTATTATCAATATTAGTATCAAATTAAAGTTGATATTTTTATTTATTTTTAATTAACTTAACTTTTTCATCATAATCTGTGCCTTTAGGGGTGGTTATAGATATGCTACCTATAGAAAGTGATGCTTATTATGTTTAATAATGGTGAAAGAAGGATTACTATGTTGGCATGATTAGGAGTTTGAAGCAGTCATATTATGGTGGATTAATAGGTATTTTGATTGCCTAAGAAAATTTTAATAAGCTTCATAATTTTTGGAAATCATTTATAGAGAAAGTCATAAGTTCCTTGTTCATTAAAGGTTTGTTAAAAGAAGGAATAAATGAGGATGTCTGAAATGACTTTAAGCCTTCTGCAAGTTTATATAAAGTGTTCATTTAATAAAAAAATGGACTCAATATTTTTACAAGTAATTGTGGTCTAAATCTTGCAGAAGATTACAAAAAGTTCAATCTCTAGAATTGTATGCATAAACAAAAATGGATGGTATCATAGTAAATGCATAATATTTTATCATTATTTCAAGGAAATGGCCCTATATTTAACGATAAGAAATGCAAAATTTGCCTTAAAATATTGCTATTAAATCCTAGTGATTAATTCCTAGTAATTATATAGTCATACCAAATATTCCTGCAGTATGCATTTTTTTGTCTAACCCAATTTATATCTTTAATAAAATTTTCATTGTATAAATTTTTTACTGTAAGATTTTAGCAAAAATTTTCAAGGGATTATTTTATAGAAAATTGATCCATGTGATTTCATTACTCTGTTAATGATGCTATAGATTGCTAGATCACAAATATTCTGAATTGGGAGATGTCTTAAATCCTTTTTTTCAAATTAGCAAAATTCTATTTAAATAGAAATTAAAAAAAATTTCTGATATTTTTAAGTTATCTGTAATAATTATTCATTAATCCAGAAATCAAAGATCTAAAAGAATAATATTGTAGATATGTGTAGTCTATCACATTATTAAACTATGAGTCTTTAATTTCTGTTTTAACCTAATACAATAATGGATTTTAAATAATAATATATATGTGAAGGCATTATACTTTTATGTACTATTTAGAAGTTAAGAATACTCTAGAACTCTTGCATAAAATTCCATGGATAGCATTTTTAATGTCAATAAATAATAATATTGACTACAATGCCTAAAAGAGATTTTTCTTTGAGATCATGAGTAAACTTTAAGTATTTTGAGAGACACATTAATCTTTCTTGTCACTATGAATTAATGGCATGGACTAGAATAATGTTTTATTGAATGCACTAATTTTCGAGGGATTTGGAACAAAGTGGCCTTGGATTTGAGAATAGGATTTTATCTCTTGCTTACTATGTATCTTTGGAAAAATTAACCTGTGTGACAATTGACTTCCTTATTTATAAAAATAGAATATTTTTACCAACTTTAAAAGGTTGTGTAAATTTACCAACTACCAAAGAGTGTGACACATACCCCTAAACACCTCATCAAGAATTCTATGGTGTGTACACCAAAAATTTATTCTTAACATTTTAAAAGTTCTTTTGCTTGGTAAATAATTTGTACTTAATTCCTTAATAAATTTAAAAAAACTCAGAAATCTATCAAATCAGGTTTTTTATACAAAGTCTTCTAGAGAATGGAGGATGTGAATTGGACTTTGAGTTACGGGAATGTTTATTCAGTCAAGAACAAGAGCAAAGATTTAGAATCAGAATACACTCATCCATACATCATAGAGGTCCAGTCTGGGCAGGTGTTGGAAAGTTGTGTGTGAAGACAATGGCTTTTATTATGATTGTATAGGTGGGAAATGATACCATTTGACATTAATTTATACTATGGTTAAACTTTAGTGGTGTTAGGAGGAGATACAGTGTTTACATTCTTTATGGATAGGTGGATGTAAAAAAATTCTATGTCAATATTTTACTGGATCTTTGCTTCTCTGCATATGTCACTCTGTCATCATTAGTCAAAACTCTTTTTTGTTTAAAAATGTAAAGGAATTCTTTCCAAATAATTCAGAAACCTGTATGCAGGAATATTAGTTATAATAATGAATTATAAATATTACCTTCCGCCATTTCCCTCCCTTTTGTATTATTCTTTCTCTGGTAAATCTTGATAACTACTGCAATCAGGAACATAATGTGACTTTACTATTAGAAATCATTTTAAAAGCACTTTGCCTATAGGAGTTAGTTCACTACTAGAGTATGCAGAGTCTCGGATAATATTTCTGTAACATGTCAGAGCTACCCCACAGTATACATTTTTATATCTATCCCATAATCCAAAATATATTGAACAGTTTTATTTCTGTGAAATACACATTTAGCATTATAGGGAAAATAACACAACAGAATATTAATTGCCTTATACCCTTTCCCCCAAGTACTTTCAATTAATAGATTTATATTCTAAAATAAATAATGTTTTATTAGTTGACCTCTGGGATACTTCACACACTTAAGCCATTTTTATATTCTCTCCCAGACAAACCAACAACCAAAACATATAGCATATACACATAATTATCTCATCAAAAAGAATAATGTCTTTGGTCCTTACATCTCTGAAAGTTTATAATTATAGAGTTAAGTAAATGAAGAAAGAGGCTTCAACTTCACTTTATAAATATTTCTGTTACATTTCAGAAATATATTTCAAGACAGTAGGTACAATTTAGGAACTGTAAACACAATATAAACAATATTAAGCACACAGCAGAAAGTTTTGTGTTAAGTTGGAGTTGTAGGAAATGGCTTTCAAAAACTATACTTTTTCTTATGGATGAAATATTGAATTATTTTCTCCTCTTGTGCTACTTTTTGTATCTGGTGATTCCTAAAGGGAATATGCACCCTAATTTAATACAGAGGAAGGATAATTCATTGTAATCATGAAAAATTTTGTGCTTTCTTTAAAGGTTTATTACTTAAGAAAATGTGTCTATAAATAGAATTAGTAATCTAGTTCAGTTCTTTGAATAATATTTTAAAAATATTTTTTAGTTGTAGATGGACACAATATCTTTATTTTATTTATTTATTTTTATGTGTTACTGAGGATTGAACTCAGTGCCTCACATGTGGGAAGCAGGTGCTCCATCCCTGAGCTACAATCCCAACCCAAGTTCTTTGAAAAATATTTTTAATCATGATTCTTAGAGTATGGAACTTTGTTTTTGGCCTTTTCAAATTTAGTTAATATATTAGTTTTCTATTTTTTACTTTTATTATGAAGTACTACTCTGATCAGATTTTTAAAAATTGTCAACCAGATTTTCCTAAATGTAATTTATTTATTAATAAATCTTGTTTATTTAATTAATTATTCATATTTAAAACATCATACATATTAATTGCCTAGGTTTTATAATGTACTTGGTTAAAATTTAATTTTGGAAGAAAAGGAAACATCATTAGTGAAGAACTGCAAAATGTGTGTAGGATGTGCTAAGTGGATGCAACAAGGGGCCTTTAATGTATCTGTGGACCTTAGTTGGATTTTAAAAGGTTTATTAAAACAGAATGGCAAATTGTGTGTTCATTCATATATTTCCAGTTTTTAACAGAATCTTAAGGGAGAGACATGACCAGTAAGGTTAAGAACTAACATGACTAAAAGTAGAAAAGAGAAAATAAATTGATGAAATTGACTCTTACTTAATGCTTCTTTGGCTTTATTGGGACAAAATTAATTATTAGGACTCTTCAAGAATAATATTAGAAACCAGGTGATGATGTAGCACATATTTTATAGATTTATTACCTTTAGCAAGCTTTGAAGTTTATACTTTTTCTCTTATATAGTATTTGGAGACAATCTATTCCTATTTAAGAGCAGTAAATCTCAACATCACGAGTTTGATGTTATTTTATTCTTTTTAATAAATTTAAAAATACTTCCTTATTTTCTTATTCTATATAGGCTTATATTTCTCTGTTAACATTTTTAGGGTACTTCTGTGATTATGAGAACCACTGCTTTTTGGGGGGAGAGATGGTTCATCATGAAAA